GTCATCCGATACTCCTGGGCAGGTCCGTCTAGGTCTCCATCCGGCCACCACCACAACCGTCCGGTTCAATACCACGCCTAACCTACCGGGGCCTTATGTGGTTCTGGGGCTTAGGTTGCCGATTTCAACCACTTAACAGCAGGTCCTCGCGACTATGGGGTTTACTCCGTCTGCTGTTCATCACACCTAGGTGTGTAATGATAAAAAACCTGCATCAGAGTCCTCACGTTGTAGACCTCCGAAATAGGGATTGACGAGAGTTCATTGTCTGCAATCCCCTCCCGCACTTCTTGGCGGGAGTGGAGTGTTACGGGTAGGAAGAATGGGCAAAAGCAGAGGGTTGGATACGGAAGACAAAGAGTTAAACGAAGGCTGGGATGTTTGAACAGTAGTTCACTTATCACTATCCACCCCCGCCCGACGCACTGAGCGTCGCGATCCTGATTATCACGCGCGACGACGACCGATGCAGTACGGAACCATTATTTTGTTGTTTGTGTATGCATTAGTTTACTCCTCTACCATTTTAGCGACTGAGACGCTAGCTTGAGTCGAACCCTCAACCTGGAGGACCAAGAAACAGAATTGTCTAACTTACACCTTTCGATCTTCCGGGCATGATAAGATCTCCTGGCCAGATAAAAAGGTTATCTTGTGTAGCTCTCTGGGCCACATCACGTCACGGTGCAGCCCCATTGTAAAAGCAGGGATCATAAACCAGGGACCATTAGATTGAGCCAAAATGTTTTACACGAAGCCGCACCGTGTCCGTGCACTCTGCCAGATCGATTAACAACCTGTCTTAGACAGAACTCTGTAAAATCTCGATTCATATGTACGCTGTCTACGAAATACATAAATGGCCGAACTTCAATCATCACGCTGCAATCTCCAGACCCGACCCCATCCTTACGCTGCCAGATGATTCAGCATCCGAAGCCAGCGGTGCTGGGTTTACGACGAGTGCCGAGGATGGGCGTTCACTTCTTGACTGGATTCCGGTTAGTAGAGCACTTCGCACCGTACGTCTGGATGGTTCAGCACTCGTCAACGCCTATTCGTCGTTTCCGCGTATAAACCGACTGATTGCATCTGGTCACAAATGAGGGATAAATCCGACGAGGACCAATCTAAATTAAATATCATACTCGGCCAACGGACGTCGTAGTAAGCGCCGGGGACAGCAATGCTCAAATGGAATCCCTGGATGCATCATAAAGTTTCGTGGCGGTCCACACACCATACCAACCAACTGAACGGAAAACAGAGTCCGTTTACTTCAGCTCGGAGCAAACCACTTATTGTCCCTACCAAGCACTAATTTCATGCAATAGGAAAGACATCACATAAGATGCATACCTTCAACTTCTTCTTCACAGTGATGGACTCAAATCAGTTTCAGTTTGCACAACCATTAACAATGTACTATCATGTGCTGGTTTTAGCTGCTGTCAAATCGACCACATAGCCCTCAGCTACCATTACCGAGGGTCAACTGAAGACTGCCACTCTTACTCGTCAACCGTAGACCATGCTCTTCTATGATCCAGTCTCCCTGAGCCTCATAAACAACCACAAAAAACTATTGCAAACGGTCACCCACAACACAATCCAAATGATGGTAGCAAATCCGCCCTAAAAGCGGGACTCTCTGATCGCCTCTCAGCTAAAAAACCAGCCGAATGACTTAGCAAGGAGTAGATTCTAATCAAGGGAGCCATCCAAATGCAAATCAAAACAATGGCGGATCCCGCAAACGGTCAACTCAAAAGCGATGGATCTCGTTCTCTGACGTCTTACTGGCAGCGTTCAGTTTGTACAACCATTAACCATGCACTTTCGTACACCGGTTTTAGTTGCCCATTCGGATGAAGAAAAGAAGACAGAAAAGTTGAAAGCAGAATCGAACAGAAAATGGAGAATTTCAGTGATCTAAGGTTGCAAAGAAATTGAGAAGCAAGAACGCCACCGTTCACGACACTGTCTCTAACCATCGGGTACGACCATCCCGAGGTCCCCAGCCAGGGAGCCTAACGGGACCTACGTGACCCAGACCCCAGGTCAGAGTTTTCATTCCCTCGTACCAGGTCTTAGCGTGACCACCGTTGGGTTTTTCATACCCACTACTTGCCTCGGCGAACATCGGAGACCCAACATACGTCTAAATTGAAAGGTCCGAGCCAAGGCAGCTTGTTGACCGATCTGACAGTGAACGCGGCTAGTCGAAAAGGGGATTTTGGCTTTAAAATCCTATAACTTCTGATTGGCTGGCCTTGATGGATATTCGACGGGTGGCGTGAGCAGGTATCTGGGATTATTCGGAATTGAGAACTAGACAGATGGCTTTCAAAATATGTGCCTAGGGCTTAAGGGTACGGCATACTTAGCGGCAGCCCACTGGGTGTTTTCAAAACCGTTCGTTCTGATACCATGTACGACACGTGGCGTAAACTGCAAAACGTCAACCGCATGGAGTTAAGGTAGATGTATAAGGCTGTGGATGTCGGTAGGTCGTAATCTTTCTCGTTCAATTTGGAAGTCTCATGAAAGTAACGATAGGTACGAGAGTCCGATGGCACACCGGTGTATCAGCAACACAGTTCAGCTGGTCCTACTCAACCGCTGTCCTCAAAATCCAGCAAATTAATATGGTCGGGGTGGACCTTGAATTGTGGTCGGTCCCCTTTCCCTTGCGAAATGCCCCTGAGGCTAAACGCTTCTTCTGTGGAAAGCCCAGTTATTGCCTTTTATCGTGGCGATTCCCCCACCAAACAAAAAGCCTAAATCCAAGCTACAACCGGGTTGGTGAACCAATGGCAGTTCCCCGGAAACATGGCTGGGCAATGCGGCAGTGTAGTGCCCCAAAATCGAGGAACTTTTGCCTCTCTTACGAGGACTATTCTACTGCACATTCATAAATTAACCCGGGACAAACCACCTTGGTTAATGGCACCGTAATAAACGGATATTGGGAGGAATGCCGGAACGGAACCAAGTAGCGTCCAATCCAGTAGTAGTTTTGAGCGAACTTAACAGATCCATCTCTCTTTGAAGGAGAATATACTACCTGCCCTGGAGCATTGCAGTAAGATTTCTACGGACGAGATCACTCGCTTAACTTATCACCTTTACGGAGTACCATGTAGATGAAACATGTTAGGTGGCGAATCACGATCACTGCGCTGAAGTGGAGTTCGTGGTTTGACCATAGTACATCACGCTCTTTATAGACTCTGATCTTCCACTTCAAATTAATAGGACCCACCTTGTAGGTAGAAGACAAACTACCTTAGGAACGGACACGGAAACACTACATCCTGCCGACGAATTGCACGAGACAAGTCAAGCCGTTACGAGTCGCTCAAATTACTACAAACACCAGGGCACTGGAAACCAATGAACTTCACCATCTGGATCAGATAGTGCCAGCGAAAATCAGAGCCTCCAAAAAGCATCAGTATGGTCGGGGTGGGTGTCTAGGGTTGCGGCTGGTCACCCTGCCCTTGCACCTCACGAAATGCCCCCATACGACCAATCGTCTCAAATAGCCTCTGCCGGGGAAGCCCTACTCACTGCATTCTCACGGCGGTGTTTTCCCACCAAAATGAGAGGACGAAAGGCCGATATCCGGGTTGGTGGACCACTGGCAGTTCCCCCGATTCCAAAACAACCATGAGGCGTACGAAACACCCACACTTTTTCGGTTGTGGCAGTGGTCACCGGCTCGATTGGGCACCTTGGACGTCTGACCCCATCCGAAGGGCGTACGATCCGATGAACTGGACACCGGCTCCCAATGGACTGCGGTTTCCGCACCGCTACCTTGCGGGCCAGGCTTTGGCTAGCCGAAGGCTCCGGTTGTGGATTCCTCAAGAGAATTCACCTGCCTTGACCTGAGCAACCCGGCAGTTCTCAGCCCAATCATGGAACATTTTCTTTTGATAAAGATTACTGTACCGTGATTTGTTTGGCACACAGTCTGTCGTCAGACAAGTGTGAAATACAGGGAAAATCAAGGTAGTTCTCAAATTGATAACCTTGAGTGGTTTACACAACTCCAGTACAATAAACTTCTGGTACGGACAAAAAGTATCCCATGTAAAGAACAAGCTAGGGTCAAACGACACCAGAACCCCAAGATGAAAGCTTAGGTTATGGAGAACTGCCAGCACGAAGTACCATAGCTGTATATTCAACAATTATATGATACCGATACGATTAGCGACATCCAAAGCATCGAAATCTGGTGGCAGTTTGACGTAGGCCTTCTTTATATTCTTAGGACAGTTCAAGGTGTTCACCTTTGCCACCTTTATGTTGTACAAGGACTGTACAGCAGCTTTGATGGCCGGTTTGTTTGCCCTTCGGTCAACAATGAAGACCAGCGTGTCATTGTCTTCGATCTTCTTCATTGCAGCCTCGGTAGTGACTGGATTCTGTATAATACGGAAGGCATCAAGTCTGAAGGATACATAAAATGCGAAAGAAAACATACTTGTTCCTCTTAGGAATTAGAAATCTTTGATCCTTCGGGCAGCGCGGCGGCTTATAAGTTTTCGGTCGCCGAAAACGAGGAGTTTTCATTATGCGTTTTTTGCTTTTAGTGTGCGCACCGAGAGCAATTGCCCGTTGAGCCTTTAGTGCCTTCTGGACCTTCTCTGCTTCTGTAAGTGACGAAAATATCAAACGACATTATGACAAATTCAACGTCTTGTTTGTGAAAAAGCAACTATGCACACCTCCAGGAATTGTGGATGCGTGCGCCTTACATACATAACAATAAAGTTGGTGAGAACGTGCCCCGACAATAACGGTGAACAGAAACCGCGGCCAGCCCAGTGTAAGGAAACTATTCTTTTCACTTCCGAGAAAGTGAATCAAAGATGAATAAATAAATTGAGATAATTACTACCGGACACCATAATATATCAAATCAGATATTGGGGTAAACAAGCTTACTTTTAGATCCCGCCTTGACAATTTTGCCACTTTTGACGCCCTTAAGAGCCTTCGTCGACTTGGACGCATTCGTTTTTTTCGATGGCTTAGGCTTGTCGCTGGTCACCTTTTTAGGCGCCTTCGTAGCACCCGGCGTCTTCTCTACCTTTTTCGTTTGCGGCTTCGGAGCCATGCTTTCCAGTATCACGCCCGCGTAGCTCCTCCTCTATTAGTTAAGTGGCGCAGTTAAACAAATAGATGACACAGCACAGTTCACTTCAGTTTGGTGCAAATTTTAGCGCAAAGACTTCCAGTTCGCAGTTTACTTTGCAAGGGACTTAAATTATCTTTTCTAATGGATCGTCAGGTCAGGTCACAGGACTTTGGTGTTCAGTCTTCGGCCTTCGACCTCAGTTCAGTTCAGTTCAGTTTGCACAGGACGGAAGTGGTCGAGACCAATCGTGCGTTCAGATCGTTGTGTTGTCAGCTAGTCTCCTTGGCTTCCGACACTGCTCGTTCTGCTTGTTTTCTGAAAGGCAGAATATTTAGGTGCAGCATCTCATCCAACAGATATGTAGAAATGAAATACATTAATATAGGAACGACTCACCTTGTTCCATTATAGTCCCTCAAATGGCAAGCTCCGGGAAAACCACATCCCACCACAGATCCAAGGCCTTTTTGAAGGCTAAACTGTTGAGCTGCTTACGACATTTTCCGGCAATCTGTTCTACAAAGGTACCACCCGGTTTGTGAAGAACCTGGCCCTCAGCTCCAACCTGGAGTGCTCTCTTTGCAGCTTAAGTCTATGACCTCGAATACCGCACTGTAATGCAGGAACGAAGAGGCTGCTTAGTTCTATGCCCGACAACCCCTTAACTATCTTGAAGGCTTCTATCAAATCGCCCCTGGTCCTTCGGCGTGACAGCGAGAAGAGATTCAGGTCCTTCAGACGCTGCGAGTAGCTCTTCCCTATCTGTCCAGTGACCATTCTGGTTGCCAATCGTTGTATCCTCTCTAGACACTCCATATCTTTGCGATAGTATGGGGTCCAGGCTTGCACGCAGTACTCCAGCAGTGGGCGCACCATTGCCTTATACAACGGAACGAACACTTCTGGCTTCCTGCATGTAACTGTGGTCCGCAGCCTGGAGAGTACTCCTCTTGTTTTATTCGCAGCCACCTGACATTGTCTTGTAGACCGGCAGTCCTTTGTGACAATTATTCTAAAGTCTTTTACCTCCGCCTGCCACGAAGTGCTGCGTCCCCGGTTAAGTAGTAGCTGATACTTGGTCAGATTCAAGAGTAAATACTATCGAGCCGACCAACTGCGAAATGCTTCTAGGTTCTGGGTTAGGTTTTCGCCCGCTATCTTCACATCACCTGCAAATATGAAGCAGGGTACGTTCGAATTCGGTAGCGTGATATTTGCTCTCTGTGAATTTCCATTGAATTTCGTTAAAAATCACGGTATAACGAACTTTACGGTCCATTTTACTACTTTACAAGCTTGATAGTAAAATATCTGGCTTCAGGTACACCTTTTTAAAGATTTTTGAAAAGTAGTCTTGAAGTCATCCTCATCTTCGTGTTGAGAACGCAGGGGGTCCGCGCCCCGTATGAGCCTCTTCACCGCCGGTACAGATAGCAATCCGCTCAGTGGTCTGCAAGCTGCCATCGTCTCACCAAGTGCTCGTCGAGACGGCGTTTGAAACGCGCCTCGTTCTGCTCCTCCACCACTTTCGATGGGAATGAATTCCAGAGGGAAGTCGCCCTACGGGAAAGGCCACAGACCAGATGAAGCCCTGTCGACTCAAGCTTCCGGAGGGTGAGCCTGTAGCCGCGCGTCCGGTTGCAATCTCGCAGTGGAAACATAGCATGTAACTCCCGTCCCAGATCGCCACGTAGAATCTTCCACAGACAGATCAAATCCCCGCGGAGTCGCCTGTAGCTAACCGGATAGAGTTCGAGTGCCTGTAGCCGACCTTCATAGCTGATCCCGCGAAGTCCCGCGACTAGGCGGGTGACGTAGCGCTGCACCCGTTCCAAGTTGGCCATTTCGGAAAGCGTGCAGGGTATACGGTGGGTCAACCGTTTTCAAGCTGGGGGCGAAGATGGGAGGTAAACAGCTTCTTGAAGGCCATAAACGGCAAGCCGTCAAACGACCGACGGATGGCTCCAAGCATACTCCTTGCCGTAGAACATGCTCGCGTGGTGTTCATCTGTGTCTTCATGGATGCGTAGATAATAACTCCCAAATCCATCTCGGTAGTCAGGACAGGACATGACAGGACAGATCACAGGACTTGCGGCGGAGCCAGAAGCAATCCAGTTTATTGCACCAATGAGCTTATGAGCACCACGGCGCTGCGAAAATTGTATTATTTCGGTCACGTAGACGTGGGTGAGTGCGGTTTTGGAAAAGGAAAACGCACTTCTGATGGTTCCTCTGGGTGACAGTACACGTCTGAGGTTTTGTCAGGATCAAAGCAACAGCTCGCAACCAACC